TCGCCTCACTTCCTCCCCCTCGCTCACCTCCTCCCCTCGCTTCACCTCCTCCCGCGCCTCACCTCTCCCCTCGCCTCACTTCCTCCCTCGCTCACCGCCTCCCCTCGCCTCACCTCCTCCCTCGCCTCACCTCCCCCCCCGCCTCACTTCCCCCCTCGCCTCACTTCCTCCCCCTCGCCTCACTTCCTCCCCCTCGCTTCACCTCCCCCCCTCGCCTCACCTCCTCCCTCGCCTCACTCCCCCCTCGCCTCACTTCTCCCCCTCGCCTCACTCCCCTCTCGCCTGACCTCCCCCCCTCGCCTGACCTCCCCCCTCGCCTCACCTCCCCTTCCCTCACCTCCTCCCCTCGCCTCACCTCCTCCCCTCCCCTCACCTCCTCCCCTCGCCTCACCTCCCCCCTCGCCTCACCTCCCCCTCGCCTCACCTCACCTCCTCCCTCGCCTCACCTCCCCCCTCTCGCCTCACCTCCTCCCCTCGCCTCACCTCCCCCTCTCGCCTCACCTCCCCCCCTCGCCTCACCTCCCCCTTCGACTCACCTCCCCACCCTCGCCTCACCTCCCCCTCGCCTCGCCTCCCCCCCTCACTCACCTCCCCCCCTCGCCTCACCTCCCCCCTCGCCTCACTCCTCCCCCTCGCCTCACCTCCCCCCTCGCCTCACCTCCTCCTGCCTCACCTTCACTCACCTCCCCCCCTCGCCTCACCTCCTCCCTCCCCTCACCTCCCCCCTCGCCTCACCTCCCCCCACCTCGCCTCACTCCTCCCTCGCCTCACCTCCCCTCTGCCTCACCTCCTCCCCTCGCCTCACCTCCCCCTCGCCTCACCTCCTCCTCGCCTCATCTCCTCCCTCGCCTCACCTCTCCCCCTCGCCTCCCTCCTCCCCTCGCCTCACCTCCCCCCTCGCCTCACCTCCCCCCCTCGCCTCACCTCTTCCCCTCGTTCACCTCCCCCCCTCGCCTCACCTCCCCCCCTCGCTCACTTCCTCCCCCTCGCCTCACCTCCTCCCCTCGCCTCACCTCCTCCCCTCGCCTCACTCCTCCCCTCGCCTCACCTCCCCCTCTCGCCTCACCTCCTCCCCTCGCCTCACCTCCTCCCCTCGTCTCACCTCTCCCCCTCGCCTCACCTCCCTCTCGCCTCACCTCCTCCCTCGTCTCACCTCCTTCCCCGCCTCCCCAGACGGCCCTGTTCCCCGCCAAGAGGTTCTGGAGGATCCGGATCTCGGGGGCGCCCCTCGGAGACCTGCCGGAGGACCTCTTCCAGGACGTCCAGTTCGACGAAATCCACATCGACGCCTGCAACGTGACCTCCGTGCACCCCGACGCCTTCAGGGCCTCCAAGCCCAACATGGACACGATGGAGATGTATTCGAACCTCCTGACGGTGCGCTTCAGGTGGCCTCTGTTTCCCTTTGGAGGGTTGAGAAGGGTCGGATAGGAGATAGGGGAAGGGTAACGAATAGGCAAAACGGATGGAATTAATTAAAATCGCTTTGTAAAGGGTATTAACAAGCAGAACTAAACTGAGGCTTCGGTAATCAAATAATCTAACTTTCTTCAGTCTCAGAACTCGTTTGCTCCCTCTCTCACATACTTCTACATATGCGAATATGATAAGGCGTATCAGTATGCCTCTAAAAATATTACTCCCAAAGCCAAAATATTACTCCCAAAGCCAAAATATTACTCCCAAAGCCAAAATATTACTCCCAAAGCCAAAATATTACTCCCAAAGCCAAAATATTACTCCCAAAGCCAAAATATTACTCCCAAAGCCAAAATATTACTCCCGAAGTATACCAGGAGCATATCAGGACACCCAAAACCACCCGCTCCTTTGCCCCGCAGGACGAAACGTTTCCCTGGGAGACTTTGAACGAGTACCCTAAGCTGTGGCGCGTCCACCTCCACCACAACCTCTTCAGGACCTTCCCCCAGCTGGTGTCGGACGCCCTTGAGGACATCAACCTCTGGGAGAACCCCATCACGACCTTCACGCGAGAGTCCTTCGAAGGGGCGCCCAACCTCAGGATTATCAATGTAACGAAGAAGCTACTTGTTTTTTCTTTTTTTTTTTTTCATTTTTGTTATATTTTTTCTATTGATCTGTAAGCCTTTCTCGAACAGTAATGTGTCATATTCTCAGTTATTCTCAAATTTGTCGCAGTTAATGGTTTTAATCTCTTCCAATTCACTTTTTATCATGACTATGGTTCCTTTCTTATATGCAAGTAAAAGACCTAAGAAGTATTTTAAAACTCCAACCTCTGATTCGTATTTTCTTAACAAAATTCCCATAAGACAAGCCACTACCATTGCTTTTAATCAGTGATAACCGTCAATGAGCTATTGTTAAAATCTTGATTTGATTCCCATTTCCCACATTTCTGCCTTTCATTCCTTTCCCCTTTTATTGCTCTATTTCTCTCTGCTTCCCCCCTTTTCTTTTTTCTTCTCCCAATCTTCCTTCTCTCTTCTTTTCTACCTCCTCTCCACTCTCACTCCCC